AATATGCTGACTCTCTGTAAACCGCTTAGAGAGGCCTGAAAGGCCTATGAAGCGGTATATAAGTCTACTGCTATTGCTATTGCTATAAATGCTTCGTTTTCCGCGCGAAGCACTCGCGCGAAGCGTGAGCTCACCAAACTTGGTGGTTAAACTGGCAGCGTCCCACCACTGGTTAACATCCTATTTTGTTAGCTCAGGCGAAATGTCCTACACCCATCTACATTCCGCCTCCCAGAGGGCACGCCCCATATTCACCCCCTTTTTTCATAGTCAAAAGCGTTGTCTTGTCTTCAGATCTCTTGTCTTCCCCCCCCCTCCCCCCCGCTTTGTAAAACAGGTCTATAGAAGTCTGGGGAAGCCCTGAAGCTCTCGCTCGAGAGAGGAAAAGACGCATAGAGGCTGAAAGGGAGTACATGGAAAGTAAGTGTAACGCACGCTTCCAGAAGCGCTTCGCAATTTTGACTGCTTCGGGAGAGCCAGTGGCGTATTTAATTCAATTGTGTTTTTGTCCGTGGCTCCTATGATCTTCTCTCAGGTTTTGGGCCTGTGTAAATTTTACGTTTCTCACCCATTATCTTCTCCCATGTATCCAACATTATTGGTTCTTCAACTTTTGAGCCCATTTAATCATACAGTCTTTAACTAGCTCTCTTTCAGAGTCAATTTCTATTAGCCCCTATGATCTTCTCGAAGTAGATTTAATGAGACGAAAGGGGAGGCTGGGTTAATGAGGGGTGTGGTGGCCTAGAGGTGGAGCCTCTTGCCTTATAATCGGGAGGCTGTGAGTTCGATCCCAGGTAGAGGCAGATATTTCTCTCTCTGGGCACAATGAGAATATATCTGCCGAACAAAACTCCACATTGGTGACAGGGAAGGGCATCCGGTCAGTAAACAAGGGATTATGGCATCATTAAAAGAAGAGGAGGAGGAGGCTGTGTTGATTTGGGTTTGAGATGATATTAGGTCATTATTGACTAGTCCGATAGCAGTCACTTTTCAGATCAATAAATACTTTGATTTCCAGTTTTCTTGACAGTTGTTACTGCTATCAAGATTATTATTTCATCCATTTTCCTCTGTTCTTTTTACAGAATTATTTAGAAGCCAGAAGTTGTTGAGAGAATACCGAAATTTCCAAGGAGAAACCAAGGTGAAGATATTTTTTAACGTTTGGTTGTAAAAGCCTATGCATGGCCTATTTTTTAAGGGCAATTGTTGATGTACCATGTTTTTCGGACTGTAAGATGCACCGGTGTATAAGACGTACCAAGATTTAGAAGAGGGAAGTAAGAAAAAAAAAGTTCTTGTCCTCCCCGGCCCCCAGGACCACTCTGCAGGTTTCAGCAGGGCTGGGGAATGCAGAAACCGAGGTGGCGCAGTGGTTAGGGTGCAGTACTGCAGGCCACTTCAGCTGACTGTTATCTGCAGTTCAGCGGTTCAAATCTCACCGGCTCAAGGTTGACTCAGCCTTCCATCCTTCCGAGGTGGGTGAAATGAGGACCCTGACTGTGGGGGGCAATATGCTGACTCTGTAAACCGCTTAGAGAGGGCTGAAAGCCCTATGAAGCGGTATATAAGTCTAACTGCTAACTGCTATAGAAACGCCTCCGTTTTTGTGAAAAATGGCCCATTGCTTGGTTGAGTTGCCGGGATCCCTTTGAGTAGAAAATCTTATTTCTCGTAAAAAAAGAACTACTCGGTGTCGGTGGCTGCTTCCCCCCCCCCTCCAGAACTATTATTTTCAGGTATAGATCTGACTGATTTTATTCTAAGCCAGTGATGGTGAACCTTTTTCTTATGCGCACGGCCGGCGTGCCAGCAATTATGTCTCAAAGTGCCATCCGTGGCATGACTGCCATAGATTCTCCATAACGGTTCTAAGCGCTAATCAACGCACGCTTGATCATACACTCTTGCTTTAACCCGACATCGTATTTGTAAAGCCGTTGCATTGTTTATGAAACACATACAGGGAAGCGTGTAGCTTGTCTTAAACTGCATGCTTCTGTCTTTAATTCAGCCACGTTCCCGTGCCTCAGCTGTGTTTCTGAGCGGACCAGGAAAAGTGGTGATGGTCGCTATTTGCATGTAAGTTTTCTTTTTTCCCTTTTCCTCCTTCAGGTGTGCACGCCTCTTGAACATAGACGCTGCAAGGCTTAATCTGACGCAGCTCAATGCTGTCTTCTTGTGTTGTCATATATTGCTGCATCGGAAATGAGAATTTTAGTTTAGAAAGGAAAGCTTAAAAGGTTGGCTGAGTCGGAATATTAAACTGTGGAATGGCAGTTGGGAGGGACCTTGGAGGTCTTCTAGTCCAACCCTCTGCTCAGGCCCTACACCCTTTCAGTCCAATCTCTTCCTAAAAACCTCCAGTGTTGGGGCACCCACAACTTCTGGAAGCAAGTGGTAAGAGCTTAAGGCAATTTTTATGTAAATAAAAGGACCAGTCTCTTGTCTGAGACGGTATAGGCCAGAGTCTCCTGCTTGAGCAGGGGGTTGGACTAGAAGACCTCCAAGGTCCCTTCCAGCACTATCCTAATTAAAATATTCCCCCACCCCCGCAAATTATTGGACCATTATTGCATTGTTTACAGGTTGTTATTTAAGACAGTGCTTTCAGGATTTAATCCAAATTAAATCCGCCTTACAAATCAGAGAAAGTCCCGGGGAAGATGGAGGATTTCCAGCTTCTCAAAACAAGGCTTTTTGGAAAGCAGGAACAATTGCTGGCTAGTCTATTTTGTGTTCCCTTCTCACCTGCACTTTTGCTGTTTCCCACACGTGGTCACAATGCTGCCCAGATCCGGTTGGTGCAAACCACATGTGCCAAACATGGATAATTTGAAAGGGAAACAGAAGGGGATTTGAACAGTAGTGGGAAGGTGAAAGCTGCCGTATATTTTGAATTCCTGTGACTCGGAGGCTTTCTCCTGTGCCCTGGAGACTTCGACATTTTGGTAGTTCCAACACTTGTCTTCCTCCTCCCCCCAATGCCTGGCTTTGTGAATATCTTAGGGAGCTCGCTAATTTCATTAATCATTTGTCAATCCAAGAGCAAAGATGTTGTGGCCCATCAGTGGAGCTTGCAGTAGATTCGGACAGTGAGGAGGTTGGGAAGGAACGTGGGCCAGTCCTGGAGTCTGGGGAAGGCTCAGAAGAGGGCTCTGTGTCGGAGGCAGAAAGGGGGCCAGGGCCGTCAACAGTTATCAGCTGCCTTCAGAGTCAAACATCAGTGGGGCAGAAGAACAGCTGGAGCCTATTCCCAGTGTGCGCATGCACAGAGTTGCCAGACGAAGGGAACAGCTAAAGAACAGGGGTCGACTTGGGAGGAAGGCCACAGGTGGACGATGAATGGTCCCTCCCAGAGGGAATAAAAGAGGAGCGAAAGGGGAGTGGAGTTTGCAGGAGACAATCAGTTCATTCCTGCATTCTTGCCAACTATTCCGGCCTCTGAGAGAACCCGGCCTGTCCGCTCTCCAAGCCTGAGAAAGGCCGGTAATTGTGAACTCTCTTGAAAGACTGTGGGAGAAGAAAGACTTTGTTGGAGGGGAATTCACTCTAAATTAAATAAAAGGGGTTTATCGGGACGAGGACTCGGCTTCGTGCTGCTGGGGAAGCCCAGGTCACAACAAAGGGTGGCATTGCGTATTTAAACTTTGTGGAGTCTCCCAGCCAAAATAAATAAATTGTGAGTCTGTCGTTACCTCCTTGTGACGATAGTGTCTCTTCCCCCTCCCACAGAAACGGCTTGAATTTTTTCTTCAAACTCCTTGCCTGGGTGTATACGGGCTCTGCCAGCATGTTCTCCGAAGCCATACATTCCTTAGCAGATACTTGCAATCAAGTAAGTAGCCAGGTTTGCCGTTTGGTGCTCCTCATGGAGTTGACGCGATGCAGCGTGCGGTTGATTTGCTGTCGTGTTGGACTTCACAACACCACAGAAGGGGATTACCTGCGGCTCAGGGTTGATCGCGGGAGTCTCGGCTTGGCGGGTTTTCCCCGCAGATGTTTCATCACGTCCCACTTAAGGGACTCTCATCATCATCATCATCACGACGATCAGGGTTTCTGGGTGTTTCATTTTAACGCCAGCCGAGCTCAGCATGGCCTGCCCTCCAATGTGGGAGGCAACTTTATACGTTGATAAACACGGAGGGATCCTTTGCGAGGATCCGCCAAAGATAAAATTGTACCTTTCGACCGCAGCTCTATTCTATCTCCTGTGATACACAGGTACCGTATTTGCCGTTGATACATCAGTAACCCGGTTGTTAAGTGAATCTGGGTTCCCCATCGACTTTGCTTGTCTGAAGGTCGCAAAAGCGGATCTTGTGACCTTGGGACATAGCAACAGCCATAAGTATGAACCCGTTGCCAATCGTCTGAATTCTGAAACCACGACCATTGGGATGCTGCAAAGGCCGTAATTGTGAAAAACGGCCATAAGTCACTTTTTTTCAGTCCTGTTGTAACTTTGAACGGTGACTAAATGAAATGTTGTAAGTTGAGGACTACCTGTACCTAAATTATTAAAGTTATTAAAGCATTTCCACGATTGAAAAAAATTGATCAGACTTTAATGCATGGTGAAACCTTCTAAAATTAAACAATCGAATTGTCCCGTTTTTGTTGGCGACAAACTGAAATTCAAGATGCTGAATCACATGGGGGGTCTCTCCCACCCCTTTCCCCTCCCCCACATACAGGCCTTGCTCGCGTTGGGGATCAGCCAGTCGGTGAGGATACCTGACGAAAGCCACCCGTAAGGATTTTGAACCCTTTTCTTTTTCCTCTTGTTTTGAAATTTTCTGTTTTGTTCGAAAGAAAAAAACACCAAAACAATTGCCCATATCTTTTCTTCTGTTTTGGACATTTTAGCCGAAGCTCAGATTCAGTGAAATAACCGTATTTTCCCGAGTATAAGATGCTCCGAAGTATAAGACGCACCTAGCTTTTGGGTAGGAAAACAAGAAAAAAAAATTCTGCCTCCCAGCAATTTGCCTCCTTGCAGCGAACAGCCTGTTTCAGTTTCAGCTTCGGCACAGCCTGATTAGCACAAGCAGCTGATTGTCGGTTGGATCAGCCTCCCAACTATCAGCTGTTTCAGGCTGCAGGGATTGCCATTGCCTATTGCCGCCTTGGCGCGCCCTATTTTCAGCCTCGGCGTCCCATTTTTGGCCTCCGGAGACCCCATTTTCCACCTATTCCGGGCGGCGGGGATCAGAATGGGTGGAAAATGGGGTGCGCAGAGGATGAAAATGGGGCGCCCTGATTCGGCAATAGGCTATGGCAATCCCTGAAGTCTGAAACAGCTGATGGTCGGGAGGCCGATCCAACCGACAATCAGCTGCTTGTGCTAATCAGGCTGCGCTGAAACTGAAATAGGCCATTTGCTGTTTGCTGCAAGGAGGCAAATTGCTGGGAGGCAGAATCCGATTTTTTTTGCTTGTGCTAATCAGGCTGGGCTGAAACTGAAACTGGCCGTTCACTGTTTGCTACAAGGAGGAAAAATTGCTGGGGCTAGCGGAGCTACAGTCAGTATATAAGGCACACTCAAATTTTCACCCTCTTTTAGGGGGGGTGCATCTTATACTCCAAAAATACTGTAATTTAACAGTTTGGGAAAATAAGGTTGAGAGTTCTTGGTGCTTTAAGACAATCTCTGGCATAATTTCTTATTCTTGACAGCTTTCAGCCCCATAGACCTCAGCTAAAGGCCACATGTCTTAAAGCCGTCAGAAGTTGAGAAATATCAATATGTGGCAAGCACCCACTTCTCCTTATGATTGTTCTCCTTACAATCATAGTTACTTTTTAAAAATGTCTGTGGAGATCTTTAATCATCTGGTCATAGTTGAGGTGGAAGAAGGAGACATTTCGCTTCTCATCCAAAAGAAGCTTCATCGGTTCTGGCAGGATGGGGAGGGCAGGATGGAAGGATGATTTGGAAGGGGGGGATTTTGGAAGGATCGTATTTATTTGCAGTTAGCATTCTCCCTGACAGCTTTTGAGGAACTTGGGGGTTTATCTGTGCCCTCAGGGTCCCCTGGATCAGAGTGCAAATGGGGGTGGAACTAATCCTTGGATGAGAATTGAAATTATTTCTTCTCCTCCTCCTCCTCCTTCCTCTTCTTCTTCCTCCTTCTCTTCTCCTTCCTCTTCCTTCTCCTCTTCTTATTCCTCTTCTTCCTCCTCCTCCCCTCCTCCTTCCTTCCCTCCTCCTCCTCCTTCTTCCTCTTCTTCTCCGCCTCCTCCCCTCTCCTTTTTCTTCTCTTCTTCTCCTTCTCCTTCCTTCTCCTCCCCCTCCTCCTCCCCTTCTTCTTCCCCTTCATCCTCCTCTTCCTCCTCCTCACCCTCACCCTCATCCTGATTTAAGATAAAACAGGATTAGGGAAATTGCTGGGTGTAAAATTGCATTAATAAGGAGCAAAATGCATATGAGCTGCGGTGGCGCATTGGTTACAATGCAGAATTGCAGGCTGTCTCTGCCCACTGCCAGCAGTTCGAACCTGACCGGCTCAAGGTCGACTCAGCCTTCCATCCTTCTGAGGTCGTTAAAACAAGGACCCGGATTGTTTGTGGAGCGCAAGAGGCCGACTCTGTAAAAAGCTTGGCGAGTTAAATGCTATTGCTTTTTTTATTATTGCATTTCCTTAATCTGAATTGGCTTTTGACGGGGTACCCCTCGTTCACTCCAAATTTATTTCCAAACTCGTTATCACTTGTGTTGCCTTCCGTTCTCTGACATTTCCGTTTTCCCTTCGCTAATCACAGTGATGGTTTCCCTCCTCCTCTCCTTCCAGGTATGGCTTCACAAACATGCGCTACATCGCTTCCCTGATTAGCGGCGTTGGCATTTTCATGATGGGGGCCGGTCTCTCGTGGTATCACGGGATTATAGGGTTACTCAATCCTCAGCCGATAGAATCCCTTCTTTGGGTACGTTTGCCTTGAAACATTGTTTTAGCTGGATGTCTATGGAGAACTATTTGGGGGGGGGGGGGTCAAAAGAAAATAAGACCCTGTCTTATTTTTGGGGAAACACAGTAGACAGACAACAGACACATAGATAGAGATAGATGACAGGTAGATGATAGAGAAATAGATGATAGATATGATATGGATGGATGGATAGATGGACAGACAGATATTCAAATGATAATGAGAGATGATAGGATAGGCAGAAAAAGCCGATGAACAAACACATATTCATTCGTTCATTTGCAGTCCAAATCAAGCCACCATAGAACGAGGAAACCTTTCATGCTCTATTACACTATTTGGGGGAATAATTATTATTTTAAGATGGAGAGCAGAGTGTCTCTTTAAAATCTAAAGACATCTAAAGTTTAGATGACTGAAGCTTACTGACCACAATGCAAAAATATTTAGAAAGGATTTGATCTAATCTCAAGATACAGATAGTTATTGGTATGGCTTATTTCAGATTATTGTTATTATTTTAATTATTGTTGTATTTTTTCTTGTTCTTGTTCTTCTTGTTCTTGTTCTTCTTGTTCTTGTTCTTCTTGTTCTTGTTCTTCTTGTTCTTGTTCTTCTTCTTCTTGTTGTTGTTCTTCTTCTTCTTCAGATTATTGTTATTATTTTAATTATTGTTGTATTCTTCTTCTTCTTCTTCTTCTTCTTCTTCTTCTTATTATTATTATTATTATTATTATTATTATTATTATTATTATTATAAATTAATTTCTCTTTTTCTTTCTCTTATCTGTTCCTTTCAGGCTTACTGTATTTTAGCAGGCTCTTTGGTGTCGGAAGGAGGTACGTTACGTAACAGACAAAAATGTCGAACCTTACAAGCATGCAATAGTTTTTTAGATGAATTAAGTCCTTTACGGATGTGAGCTTTCTAATCTGTCAGAATACTGTTGTGTAATACCTACGAATTTTTAAAAAAACCAATATTAAAAAGATTACACAGTATCGGACTATATTCCAGT